TCGCTTGATTTGAGAGTGAGAGGTAAAATTAGCGAGAAAATGGCCAAAACAAGGTGTTTTACATAGCCTGTGAGACTTTGGAGACAAATAATTTAAATTTTTTTCTGTGCCTTTTAGCAATTTTTTTCACTGAAATCTTCTCAGATATAAAAGGTGTTAAACCAAAGAACAAAAATTTGAGAACAATTGTAAAACCGGCGGAAAATGCCGGTTTCTCTGATTTCACCACGCTGCCTCACTAAAAAAATGTTTGCACTTCAAATTGTCTATATGTGTGGTTGGAAGGTACCCCCACAGGGTGGTCCGTGGAACTCAGCTAACACGTTATAATAATGTATCTCCTTCAAATTGTCCTTGCGTGTAGTAGGAAGATGCCATGCCATTGGTAGGTCCGATTTCTTTACTCACCGTCTGTTGTTTCTGACTGTCCGTCTGGCTTTTTCCTTGCACTAAACAACAAGAGAGAGGGGGGGGGGGATAGATAAATAGATATATATGGAAGTTTCTACGTTCTCTTACGTTAGAGAATGTATGTATACAAGCTGTCTACGTTCTCTAATGTTCAGTGCTTCCAATTTTCCCCCATTTTAAAGTTTTCTCCAGACCTCATCTGCCGATCCGATGCCGGCCGCCTCATTGAAGCATGCACATTCTGGTTTTGTCCCCAGGAGGAGCCTTACCTACAAAGTGTACTTTTTCTTTTACCAAATAGGCCTGGTTAAAGTTCCATAGCGGTTTTATTTGGTCCGTGAGTCTCATTTATTTTAGGCTCAGCAGAGAGGCCAATTTTAACTCTTCAATTGCAAATTTTCTTCAGCTTCTTGGGGCCTCTTGCGGCACCAAGACCCCTGCCAATTGTTCCTCCTGCCGAGTATTATTCACCGTGGTTGGGGGTCCGGGGTCAGTCGGGAGGGTGACCAAAAAAAACCCTTCCGGGACCGGGATTCGATGCCACGTTTGGAAGCACTGAACTTTAGAGAACTAGACAGCTTATATACGCTCTCTAACGTTAGAGAAGGTGTATATAAATAAATAAATAAATAATATGTAATAAATATGGCTCTTTTCGTCAATGCAGACGGTCAATTTAGCTTAGCTTAAGATGGTCTCAAGGTTTTCTTCGTGCAGCTTCTTTCATGGATAATTCTTCCTATGTTTGAAGCGCAGATTCTGTTGCAGTGCTTGCATGTCAGTGTCGTAGATCGAAGCTCTGTATTTCCGCTGTTTTCCTTTCGTCGTTGGCGCTTCTCAGCCTGGTTGTTTCTAAAGCTGCTCTCTAGCATTATAGTTCGTTCCTTTATCATTTTCCTCCATGTTTTCCTGTCTTCAGCTATTTCTTCCCAGATGCTAACATCTACTCCGAGCTTAGATAAGCTGTTTTTACAGGTTTTCTTTGTACCTCAATTTTGGTCTTCCTCTTGGTCTCTTTCCCTGGGCAAGTTTTCCATAGAGAGAAGTTGCTTCGGAATCCGGTTGCCGTCCATTCTCTTGACATGGCCCAGTCATGACATGACATGACATGACATGACATGACATGACATGAATAAATAAATAAATAAATAAATAAATAAATAAATAAATAAATAAATAAATAAATAAATATATATATATATAATATATATGATATCCACACACACATACACTGCCTGCTTGAGGACCATCGGACCTCAATAAAAAACACCAGTCCTGCGGCTCACCGTCTGCCAAAGGGACGCAAGACTGTGGGTCAATCAGTTTTACACTAAGTTACACAATAAATCCTAATCTCACGATGTACCTACGTGCTAATGGGATGAATAGCTACAGGACACTGTAGTCGCTAACGTGGGCGTCTGGTAAGCGAGAGGGACGGCGCCAGGTGTATGGACTCTGTAAAGACATCCCCTGTCCCCTCCCTGGTATTGGGTTCTGCCAGGGTGACAGTGTTCTTCCCTAACTTAGAAAAACGAAACATGACTAAAGGTTAAAAAAATCAAAAAAGGAAACGGCGCTGGAGAGACGGGGAACGTTATCCTTTGGCGACGCTTTCTCCAGAATCGTTGCTGAAGACTGAGGGGACGAGAAGAAGGAGGAGAGGAAAGAGAGGAGGAGCTAGCAAATGAAGGGCAGGGAAGATGAAGATTCAGGGAAAAACAGACAGGTTCAAAATGAAAAACGTCTGCATTGGCTATTAGAATTGCCTCAGTGGTAAGAAAAGAGGAAGAGGACTGGAAAAGCTCGCCTGTGACTTTGACATCTTTTTTTTCTGGATGAGACCAATGTTAAAACCTTGTCATGTCCTGGGTACACGTCTTATATCAACCCAGTGAGCTCGACTCATCATGGACTGGTCACACTTGTTAGGAATGGTATCCAGCACCGGATAAGAGACGTCTCTACTTGGGAGAAGGAGGACAGGGAGCTACAAGCACTCGAGCTAACGATCCGCAACAGGTCATGGGTCATTGTGAATCTCTATGCTGGAGGTGGAAAACTTGTCAAGGAAGATGGCTGGGAGTTT